GGGGGGGGGGGGGGGGGGGGGTCCTTTGTGAGATAAGTATTGTCCTCTGCAGGCCAGTTGCTGCATTTAGGACAGTTCGCGGGCAACGTTCTGCTTATATTCGCCTGAGTCAGACTGAAGTTGTTTCTTACCTTGACAACTGCTCCTACTTTTGAGTCATGCAGAACCCCCACTTATGACGTAATCGATGATATTCTGATCCTTGGATGATGTTCTTACCTTTCGTCGCGTGCTTTTTACTCGTACAAGTCTCGTTTCTTTGTAGATAAAACTTTTTATAGAATGTGATACAACTGTCCTCACAGTTAGTTGAGATAATGCAGAAAACGTGTACTGGCATTGACCTGCGAGCTCGGGGTCACTGCGGACAAGTCTACAGAAGAAACTGAAAAATCAAGTCGACTTTTAATTAAATATTAGTCTCTTGCCAGTCGCCGCTCTTAAGTGTCCGTCGTTTTCCGCTTGTATCCAGTTTTGCTGGTTTTTAGATCGCTGTCGTCTGGGTTTAGTCTGATAGAAATTTTACCGACGTTTCAGAGGTCTTTTCTGCATCCATCATCAGGGCGATTAAATCTGTTGTAAAGTTCTATCAGAAGACAGCCATCTTTTTACTCACCGACGTGATAATATCAAATATTACTTTGCTGTATTTGATTCTTATGTATCTGCATTTTTTTTTAAATTTATAATTGATTTATTTTTAGATATTTTATTACGTATTCGTGTTTGGTGAAGGAACAGGAAACGACCTTAAACTTAATAACTTTTAAAGCTGTTATGGTTCCCATAACCCCCAGTTTTCCAAAAGACCGTGATTTTTGTTATCCGCGGTGTATTTTTTTTTCACACCTGAACAAAGTTTTTTTTAGGGGCCTTAAAAAATTCTTTTTCTAATCATTTTCTTGTTATTTTTTGAACTTTTTCTCTTGGAATTAAATGAACTAATTCCAACGTTGAAAGACAGTAATAAAAATGATATTAATTAATAATAATAATATGCTAGTAATAAATAAATTTCGTATTTCTACCAGTTACAGTGTTTTGTTTTGTTTCCGTTCACTGATCATTCCTGTGTTGTTGCTAAGCTGAAACCGGTTCCTGTAATGTAGAAAGCATCATCGCAGTTTCTTTGCATGGCAACGGCTAGTGTACATCGCGACACCGCGACTGTAAAAGACCATCAGTCAACAAAAATGTTCGCGGTGATGACTACGTAAAAATGTCTGAAACGTCGATAAATTTCTATAAGACTACAATTCTCATAATCCCAAAAGACATTCATCTACAGATCAGAAATAGTTTTACAAGTCGACAGAAGTCAATTATTCAATTTGGATATATTTTATTTGGTTCTTGTGTTTGTGTCAGGATTTACAGTCAAAATTTCTATGCATTTATCATCTCCCTCGTGCCCTGTCCTGTCACCCTAATAATATTTGGCGAAGAAGAATACAAATTATGAACACCCTCATTATGAAAATTTAATCCTCCTGTGTCCAAATATTCTCGTACGTCTCCATAAATATGGACGGTTTCACGAACCCCCGAGCACCGCGAACAACAGTAGCTACAAGTGTCGGTAGAGTAGCCGTCTGTACATGCCGACAATTCACCCCGTCTGAACAGCGCAGGCGCGTGTGAGGACGTTACTCAAAGACACACCAGGGGGCACTGAATCAGCGTTGATCTCTATAAATCACACATGTTTTTTTTGTTCCCAAGTGAATATTAAATGTTTAATGCGAGTGATGGAATTGGCTTCTGTCCATCAACACAGGATCATCAGTTTGACGTAATCTTAATTAATATGATGTTCGATACGTCATCGTTGATGAAATAATGTTACCTGTTCCGCGTCTTTATCTGTGGCGATCTGTGTAGATTAAAGGTGACGTAAGGTGGCGTAGTTGTGTTAGTGGGTTGTAGGATGTCATCTGTGAAATGTCACACTGTATTTAACCGTGACAATGGAAATCATAAAAACAATCCTCCAAAGCGACTTAACATTCTTTATCAGTCTGTCTCTCATCTCCTGACGTCACAAGCATCTTATATATTCGTAATCATTTGTCTTTGGTGGTTAGTCATAATTATAAGCTGTTAATCGTGCAATTTCTTCCGGTCTTTTATCAGTTTACTGTTTATCAGTTCGAGAGATTATCTTTAATTACAGAAATAATTCAGTAATAATTAAAAATATTTAAATTATTTACGTTACAGGCCAATGTTAAACCACTATCACTTCAAAATATACCCTCACTCCAATGAATTTGTAAGTAAACATCATCAGAAGTTACACAACAACAGTAATTAAGTTTTAGTTTATAAGATTATAATTTTTAACTTTTAACTTTACACCTGAAGATGGTTCAATGTAACCGAAACATGTAGTAAAAAGTTGTACCAAATATGTAAATGATATTTTAATATCTTATGTATAATTTTATTTATATACAATTTTGATTAGACGGGAAAAAACACGAAAAATTAATTACAGAAGTCTGACTGACAGTGGTCCATAATCATATCGAAAATATAAAAGAAAAAGTCAGAGTCTGAGAAGAACGTTTTACTCGCAGATTGTGGATGACCAACGCGTGGCCAGTCACAATGTCCCAAGTTGCGCGCGGAAAAATTACACAGGGGTAAAGCCGTCATAGGATGTTTTTGTCTTGTGGTATTTTGCATAGCCCACTTATGTTGCGCGGATGACTCACAGGGCATAAGAAACCGTTTACTTTTAAGTAAATATTTACATTCGCATCAATTGAATAAGAACGTTGCATTTATGAACCGGGTGCCCATTTGTGAAACTTTCCAAAGCTCGTTTCCTCTTACCGACTGTTGAGAGGCAGAACTTTGAAGTAGGGGATTGTAAACCTGCGATCCGCTATCTAACCGCCCATGTGTTTTCTGTGAAGTGACTTGGGTAAAACCGGTTTATCTTGTCTCATTACTTTCAGAAACACCTAGGGAATAAAAAGTAAAATTGCACTCACAAATTCTACAGCATCTCTTATCCTATATGATAAAGATATTTCTTGCTGATACAAAGATATCATAAGATACATAATTGGAAAATATTGGATAGATGATGATAATTTTACCTTTGGCACAGTAATGCTGTTAAGGAATTTAAGATCTTGTGGATAATATTTTATTTATAATTACGCGTTATTATAACTGTTGCCATTGTAATGCTGTCAATCGATTTTGGGCCTTATGGATAATACTTATGACTGTGTGTTTACTAGTATATATTTTCCCTTAATTTTTAACGGGTAGTTGGAAAATATTAAATTAAACACCGAGTAGACGTGTCTTGTGTTTTTAAATGTAATCAACTTTTATACTCAGTTCTACTGAACACGTGCTGCATTCTGTAAAGTTCTTCATAACATTTTTAAAAAGGTTACCGAACATAACAAAATCCAATAAACAAACTTAACCTAACCTAACCTAACTGATAAGCTGCAAAGGTGATATATCACGAAAGGAATTTTTACCCTTGGTTAGAGAACAGTTTTTTTTTCTTCTACAAGATAAAACTATGTATTAGCCATCAATAAACACTCAGCTATTTTTTCATTACATCGCGACTGGGGGTTGAAAGGTGGGTGGGTAAAGGGGTGGGTTTACCTCCGTGGATGATAAGAATTTTGATCCATTAGCGGATTAAAAATTCCACTTATATTTTACCAGAGTAGCAAATAAAATACACATAGAAGGAACATAAGAGGATGATAATAGTTCAGAATGCAATAAAGACTGTAGTAAATACAGAGTATGAGTAACAAGTTAGGACGTGTACGCATGTCGTAAAATTTTGCGCGGAGTTTTTGTCAGAATTTAACCTTGGACATTACCGAATGGCGAGGGGATTTCGCGTAAAAACATTTCGGAGAGCAGAAATTCTTGGGGATTTCCCAAATACGGATCAGGGTTGATACATTACGTTAGGTTTCGTTGTTCGACTGGTGATTGTGTTATGTGACAGACTGTACATTGCAGTGGCCTGTCCCTTGTATAAGAAAGTCTGAGACAGAAGAGGCCAAGGTCAGAATATAACAGTAGTGCCTAGAGAAATAATACAATTAAATTAATTGATTTTATATTATAAATTAACACTCCACACATTCATAGACCACGCGGTCTGAGAATAATATTCGAACTCTGAACACTGAATTTAACATTCACGGTGAAAGGTGAGGTTGTAAATCGATCATTCGATGCGGAACGTGAAATGATATTTTAAATATTTTATATTTTATTATCTTATTAAAAATTTTGATTTGACGGAAAATATTAAAATATTAACCTAATTCACAATATGACGTAAATATACTACCTTAAGGTATCCCGTTACACGCCATTTAGGCATTTGGGGGGGGAGGCGTTATAGCTCCTATTCATTCTCAACCTGGATCCCGTTACACGCCATGTAGGCATTTGGGGGGGGGAGTTATAACTCCTATTCATTCTCAACCTGGGAACTAGATGGGGGTGAGTAATATTAGATATTAGATTATTTTGAATTTTCATATTTTGATTGAATTAAATAACGATGTTATTATTAGCCATCTTTATACGAGAAATCAGTGTTACGACTTTTAATATTCCGTTGTGTCAGTGTTTATTATTTTGCTAGCGAGAAATTTCGATTTACATACACAAATCTACGTGTTTCAATAGAATATATTCTCTTCAGAACCTAATCCGGAAGAAATTTGAGGACAGGCTGTACACGGAACATGGTTTACTTAACAAGTAACCATAAAATAAACCGTGATAATTGATACGAACCAAGTTTGTACACAAACCTCTATTTGTATGTTAATACGTGAATAAAATGAACTGTTATAAATGGATGTAAACTTTGTAGAGTTTCGTATGTGAACAGCAGACTTAATTATCTTAATATTGACCGATTTTAAACTGGTGATGGAGGCGTCTGGCTTCTCCGAAACGTCGCACAGTATATATTAGACTACATGATGCTACGTCTAAGAAGAATAATATTTGGACCTAAGTGGTATGAAGTGACAGGAGACTGGATAAAACTGCGAAATGAGTTTAAATATTTATATTTTAAACTGGTGATGGAGGCGTCTGGCTTCTCCGAAACGTCGCACAGTATATATTAGACTACATGATGCTACGTCTAAGAAGAATAATATTTGGACCTAAGTGGTATGAAGTGACAGGAGACTGGATAAAACTGCGAAATGAGTTTAAATATTTATTTTCGCAAAGTGTGGACAGATTCGTGTCGATGGGTGAGATAATGTAGCACGAATTTGAGATGTGATTGTCGGATAATCTGGATGTTAAGAGAATATTGAAGATGTAATCATTGGAGGAATGGGTTATATTAAAAATGGATCTTAAGGGAACAAAGTGATGGTGTGGACTGGATTCATCTCGCACGTGAAAGGATACCAGGGCCAAGCTATTGAACACGGTAATCGACCTTTATGGGTTCATTAAACGGTGGAGAGTTTTAGCAGTGGAGATCCTCAAAGACTCCATTGGCGTGTGAAACAGACGACGAAAATATATTATTTTAGACGGATGTTCCCGCGTGTTGGGGACGTTGAAGTTTGCAAGTCTGTACTTTTGGTCTCTTTTATAATTAGTCTTCCGTTGAACCTCTCGTCATAAAATTGTATTTTAAAAGTTATGATGAGAAGGCATATTTAAATATTACAGCAGTTGAAGTTTATTTTTAAGCAAGGCGTAAAGTGTGTGGGGGGAAATTGCGAACAATGGCTATAATTAACTCGCAGTTTAGCGAACAGATAAGACACGAGGTTATGTGATGATGGAAGTGACGAGTCACGTTCACGCGACGCGTTTTTATAATTTTACACCAGGAATTGCAGTCTTTTGTCACGACTTTCAATGCCACGTAATATTTTAAAGCCCAGTGGTAACTATATGTACCACCTACTTTTGACATTCAGTAACTCTGCATTTTACCCACAAAGTCGATCTTTGTAATGGTGAAGTGTGGTGTTTTCTTCGCGGTACGGACTGAATGTTTAAATATTACGTACGCAGTGAGTGTCTCATTATAAACAGCGATTATTTCCTTAAACAGCGTTAACCATTTGATTTTCGTAATGGTGAAGAGTTGTGTTTTCTTCGCGGTACGGACTGAATTCTTAAATATTATGTAGGCAATGCGTGTCTCATTATAAACAGCGATTATTTCCTTAAACAGCGTTAACCAGTTGATCTTCGTAATGGTGAAGTGTGGTGTTTTCTTCGCGGTACGGACTGAACTCATAAATGTTATTTAGACGAACTGGGACCCCCGAGCGACTTTGCGTGCAGAAACGTGTAACAGGAAAAGTTAAATGAAGGTCAGGACGCCGACGGACTCGCGGCATCTTTCGTTGACGTTGCACTAACGTAACTGAGTCGGTGGATTGTGGTGATGAACTATGGAACGGTGTGTTTCTGTAAATATCGATGACAACGCTTAATGATCGCATTGGCCTTGGCGGTTGAACTGCGACAAAGCGCAACCTACCGGACCAAATTCCATGGATCAGAGTCTCTGAGAAGCTGATCAAGATATTCTCCGTCAGACGGTACATTCTAACTTCCTGTTGTGGGATTTCTAGAAACGCACGACAAAGCTTTTTTTTTTATTATTTCTGCCACAAAGTTATCATAATAATTAGAGCGACGTGCTTCGATCTCGCTAGACCACAAAGGGGGGAATTATAACAGGACTTTGGCTTCAAGGCCTAGAGGAAAGAGAAACCTCGGAAGACCTTGATGTAGATGGGAGGACAATATTAAAATTGATCTAAGAGAAATGCTGTTGGAGGGGATTAGATTTATCTGGCCCGGTGGTGGGCTGTAGTTGAAGGGAGAAGTTTCGACCGATTTTAATAATTTTCCTGGAGTGACTGATGAAAACCACGGAAAACATCGGTCAGGGTATCCGGTCTCTGGGCCGGGATACCGAATGTCGTAGTTCATGTGTTTTTTCCCTTCCAGGGTGGTATCGATGTGTAAGCAGTCGATCGTGGTCGAAGTAATGACTTCAGCTCGCTAGAATGGACCTCTGACGGCGTCCACACGCAGAGACTGGCATATATACCAAGAAACAGTGGAACATTTACGGTAAGAACAAGATAAAGATATTTAAGAATTCAGTCCGTACCTTAAAGAGAACACAACACGTCTCCATAACAACGATCAACTGTTAACGCTGTTTAAGAAAATAATTGATATTTTTTGTGAGAATTCATAAATAAATTATGCGGACAGAATAAAGATATGTTTGATTGTTGAAAGTGGTGGTACATATACTTACCGCTAGGTTTTGTAGGGTGAGGAAATTAGATTTCGGATTAAACTTAAAAGTGAAATTCGTCTTTAGAGAAATTCATCCGCCTGATTCCGCTGTCCGAAAGGAATATTTTTCAACGTCTGTGTATCGTTCCCCACAAACTAGTGCCCGAAATGGAATGGTATGTCGTATCTTACGGAACCCTATTTTTAGAACTAGTTTTTTTGTTTCCTCGCAGAGGATGTGCAGTTACCAGCAGAAAATAGTCCGTCCAAACTTGGCTCACTACTTCGTTGCTATGCACCACAAAAGTCCGCGTACAAATTGATTACACCAGAAAGGAATGTCTCGAGGGTTGACGGACTTTCCAGTTGAAAGTTTCGGAATTATATAAGTGCATAAACTGAACGTATAATGGGGGAGTAGGCCATAATCTGGTCTAACTAAATTCCGGAAATGCTCGCTACTTCTCAGTTCAAAATATTTTGGCTTCCCGTCTGATTTCCAAGAACCCGAATATTAAAGTTTACAAAACAATAATCTTACCTGTTGTTTTGTATGGGTGCGAAACATGGTCTCTCACTCAGAGGGAGGAACACAGATTGCAGGTGTTTGAGAATAGGGTGTTGAGGAGACGATGGTGTCTGGGGAAAACTGCGTAATGATGATCTTAAAAATCTGTACTCCTCCCCCAATATTTTCAGGGTGATTAAGTCGAGAAGAATGAGATGGGCTGGGCATGTGGCACGCATGAATTGGGCGAGATGTGTGCACCGGGTATTGGTTGGGAAGCCTGAGGGGAAGAGACCACTGGGGAGACCTAGACGTAGATGGGAGGATAATGTCAGGCGGGATCTATGGGAGATAGGAGTTGAAGGAGACTGGATTTTGTTGGCCCAGGTCAGGGACCGGTGGAGGGCTTTGGTTAATTCGGTGATGAACCTTCGGGTTTCCTAAGCCATCTAGTTGGTTGGGTCCACTATTTGGGAAGCCTGAGGGGAAGAGACCACTGGGGAGACCTAGACGTAGATGGGAGGATAATGTCAGGCGGGATTATATGGGAGATAGGAGTTGAAGGAGACTGGATTTTGTTGGTCCAGGTGGAGGGCTTTGATTAGTTCGGTGATGAACCTTTGGGTTCGGTAAGGCATGTAGTTGGTTACTTATGATCTGGTCTAATGTTCTGTTGGTGTCCATTTTGGTTCTGGTGATGCGTTGCACTAACTGCTCAGATCCTGCTTTCAGAACGCGGACGGTTAGAGCAAATACACTAACGATGTGCTTGTTTAATAACGGGTTTCATCAGTGCACCGTAAAACTCACTTTTTGTTAACTATTCCCCAGAATTAACAGTTCAGACAGACATTGCTGTTTCAGTAATGTTTGATCTACCTCAGACGTGATGTAAGATGTCGTCTTCAACATTTTGTTCACGTCTACGAACATTTGCGTTGGATTGGGATATGAATATATGAAGGAAGACTCAGGGTCGTATTTATTTGTTCAGTACCTCATATTTACAGTGTTACAACTTCTACGCCCTAAATTTCCTCCAGGCCATTAAAATACCCTTATAAGGCATGGTAGAGTGGAGTTATGGCTCCATGCACTCTTAACCTTGGCAGTAGATGGAGATGAGAGGTCAAATTCGAACCCGGGTCGCTCTTCTCGCCATCACCGGAGGAAATAACCCTTAATCTGAAGGCTGGGTGAGCCCCAGGGTCGATGTTGACGTGACAAAGAGAATGTTTTCTGCCCTCGCTGGTAATGGAACCGAGGTCATTTGCCAATAGCCAGTCGTTGACTTTGTACACTTCACAGCAGTTTCACCTCTGCCCTGAAGGCAGAGGTGACGTGTTCTTCCGGAACTTTGCTCGATAGTTTGGTTCGTTTGTGATCGTTTGCTGGCTCTCACGGGATTCTGGGCCTTATGGGATAATATTTACAATGCGTCTATACTATTTATATTTTCCCCCGTCTATCTTGACGGGAATTTTATTAGTACAGATCAGAATACATTATACACGAGAAAATAAAAAAAGTGTTTGTTGAAAGCTGCAGACTGAAGTGACAGTTTGCGTGTGCGGGGGACATGAGTCACTTCAGCTTCAAATGCGTTGCCCGCGCTTTCTCTCTGGTTTTCTGCATCCGCGTCTGGTGGGTGGAGCACTCGAATCCTCAAGGTCCGCCATGTAGGGTCATGGGATGACGACGCCCTCGTTGTGATATATGTAATTTATCTTCTGTCTTCGGTTCATTCGGGCCTACTAAATCAACGCCTGCCGCACTGCCTTCTGGGACGGTGCGCCATGTACTCTGGTAGACATTGACCTAGGTTTCGGAGGTGCTTACCGACTCCATCATCAGAGCGGAAACCCAGTTTATTACGATTTCAACTATTTAGGACATATGACAAAAACTTCGATTCTGAAGGGGTTTATACGGAACACTGGGGTTGAGTGAGTGACACTTTTTCTCAGTTCAAATCTCGGCCAGGAGACCGGTTGACCTGACTTTTTTTGGGGGGGGGGGATGAAGATGATTGTCTTCAGGGTTGTTGCGCCGTGTAGTCTGGTAGAAGTTATAGTGACGTTTCAGAGCATCGAGGTTCCACTGTATACCAATAACTGGAAATTCCCAGGCTCAACTGGCCCGTCTGTCGACAGGTTCATATTTATCAATATGATGGGCCGCTGCCCAGAGGTACGGATCATTCGGGCAAACACTCTCGCCCCCCCCCCCCCCCCCCCCCAGGATCACGTGTATTTTACCACCAATTTTCTTCCAAACTAATGCGATTTGTATCTGAATTGTACTGTTATTATCGACGTATTTTCTAGTAATCCATATTTTTTTATGTTATGAGGGAATTATATGTTTGTTTTAGCAGTAACCGACAGAGAATTTTAATGTTGTAAGGTTGTCTGTCTTTGTTTCTGACCTATACAAGTGCAGAATTTCCAAAGCCACTATTAGACATCCATTTCTGCATGGAGGAAGGAGAAATCAAGGTGATGGATATCACGCTTTTTCTCAGTATAGTGACGTGGATCGACCGGCTTTGCTTCTCTCTCAAGCCACGGCACTGGTACATTTACCACAGCGTTACGTCACAATACACAAATGTCCTTAAAGCCAGACACTCATTTGATTCCTTCTACTCCGAGACGAGTGTCAGAGGTGAAACCCCTAATTTTGGGACCGAGGATGTGATAATGAGATGCTTGTTCAGGGTTATCGCACACCGCGTGTGGGGCGGTGATAGATGGAGTAGGAGGGGTGGGGGAAACCTAAGAACGAGAGAAAAACATGTTCACTGCCATCATTAACTCAGTGCATGACATAACACGTAATGATGTAACGTTTTATGGATTACGCGGCATAATTTATTTTCGTGTTATATGGCTGATCATAGAGACCATTATGTGTGTGTACATAGAACCCAGATATAAATACAGAGTGTAACAAAATTGGACATATTTTTTTTAAAAAAAAATATTGTGATTAAACAAACATATCACAACACAATTTGTTACAAAACATTTTTAACACTTAAAGCCATTAGTTATGAGGCGGACATCCGGGTGATATTCCAAAACGTGTCTCAGTTTGCCCAAGAAAATGACATCTGTCAGAGCTCTTATCTTAATTAAAATATCGCCTGCCTCATAACTAATAGCAGTCGTATTTAACACTTTTAAGAAAACTTGAAGTGTTAACAAATGTTCAAAAAGAAACTATGTTGTGATATTACTGCTCGTTTCTTCACAATACATTATCAAAATGTATACCTTATTCTGTAACACCCTGTATAATTCCGACAAATGTAATGAGAATTTGGTGTATCATCGTTAAAACATCATCTTGGCTTCTAATATTTTTCTTTTTAAACTCTGAACTGCATATCCTTTTAGAATGTGGTTGGCATTTAGTGGCAAAATGCTGCAATTTCGACTTAACTAACAATAAACTTGTTTTTTGAAGAAAAAAACTAATAGTCGCTCAGGTAATCAAGAAATAACCCTCCTTTTATGAAACCCGAATGTTCATTACCGTGCTCACAAGAGCCCGCCATAGGCCCCTATCTTGAGGTAAGTGAACCCAGCCTTCGCCCTCATAAAAATAAATTATCTTAATTTATTTAATTATTAATTATTTTAATTTATTTTATTTATTTACCTTAGTGTGCTGCCTCTACGGGCAAAAGACGAACCTCGGGTACAGCACTGGATAAAAATAAGAAAACATAACTAACAAATACGATAAAGAAACCAATGAACAAATTATAATAAGAGTGGTTAATAAATAATGGTTGAATTGTTTTGGAACACACTGTACACAACTATTGTAAGAAGTGCAGGGAACAAAAGAAGATGAGACAGCACTTTCATTTCGCTCGTCTCGCTTTGTACCTGGAACTCGACTGAACGACTCGGACAAGGAAGATGTGTACGAGTCTTAAAGACTCACGTGCAAATCGCTCGCTGGATGGACTTTCTTGGAATATGTCGAAACATATTTCATTCGCATAATTTCTACCTTTTGACTTTACGCTTTGTCACTCAGTGCAGCAAATTGCTTTGAAGCCTAGAAAAAAATACGTAACAGGGGTACAGAAAATATTTCATAATAACAGTTTTATAATTTACAATTTTCACACGCCATCGTGGTGAAACCCAACAAGGTTAAATTTACGACACAATACGCATGCGTGAGATGGGAAACGCGCACAACATTTTAGCCTTTAAAGACTTCAAGGAGAAAGACAACTTTAGAGACCCAGACGTGGATGGATTATATTAAAATGGATCTTATCTAAGTGTCTTTTTTT